AAAGGGGAAAGGCTTTTTAATTACATCACTAAAATGCAATTCACCAATTTAGGTGTGAAATTCATCGCTTTGAGAGTGAGAAAGAGAAGGAGCGAATATGCGACAAAAATGCATTCCACAACAGCTGAAGAATTTCGAAGCATAAACGATTTGCCCTCTTTCCAAAATAAATTACCAATCATTTTGAACATACGTTGTAAACGCAATTATTACGATAACTTTCAACATTGGGCCCCAACTATTTGGGCTGTATCTTATTTGAATTTTTGAATTTGATTTTGTAATTGCGTTAATTTGCTTCCGAAATACAAAATTGGCTGTTAAAAATGTTTGAAGAATTTTCAACGTTCATAAAATATTCAGAGAGTTGAAAAAATTTGTATCGAAGACCAACTATTGCATGAAATGTTAAAAACCAATGAAAACTGACAAGAAAAACGACACATTTTAAAGAAATGAAATTTATAGAAGCTAATGAGCCTTCGAAAGAGTTTTAAATACAACAATAAGTATTTGTGTGACCATTAAATTCATTCGGAAATGTAAAACACATAAAAAAAGGTGAATCATAAGGTAAGTGTGAACCACAAGAGATGGTCAAAAAGTGTATGTGCCAATAACCGCTATGAGCGTGGCTGTATAATTCCCTGAAGAATATGTCGCAAGATCAAGAGCAAATGACATTCACGATTTAGCTTACCAACAAATATGCTTTTATGACCATATCGCTTGATATCAAAGGAGATTTTGCTCGACCATCCACAACGACAATCAGAGCCCAAAAAACACACACATACACCAAAATACCGTTTGACTATGTGCAAAACCCAGATTCACAATTCGCGCGTCTTTTTAGCACTACATGAAATGTAGAGCTACTAATCTGCTTTTTTTTCTTAATACTTTTTGAGTGATGAAACAAATTATGGAGAATTTCAATTTTATGCTCATATTTTTCATTTAGTTTAAAACAGGTGCAGTAAGACAAATAAGTGCACAATATCTCAAAGCGCCAATCAAATTTTTATTATCAAATGTTGTTTAAAACTTACATTCATTTTTCGTATAATATTTTCTGAGTCTTGAACAGAATTAAAGTGACTTTCGATTCTATGCTCATATTGATTATTCAATTTAAACCAAAGGCAGTATATTTCAAAAAAGAAATTAAACCAAGATCTTGTAATTCATTTTGCAAATAAATATATAACTTTAAAGTTACTTTTTTGAAATATATTTCATGTAGTGCACCAAAAAATAGTTTATTGTGAATCAACAAAATAGATTAAGTAACTAAAAACTCAAGAACGCAGAGCGGAGCGAAGTGAAGCCCTGCGGTCTTGTTTGTTGTTGTGTTCGTTCTTCCTCCGAAATATCCTTGTGAAAAGATTTGTGCTGCACGTGGCACGACTATTCAATATGCAGCATACAAATAAGAAGAAGGAGCGTGAACGCGCCGTGTGGCTCGCATATATTCACCGTGAACTTGAAGGTATTTTGCTTTAGTTTGATAGTTTGTTCATGTGTTGTTGGGATGTTTTTTTTCTTCTTCTTCTTAATTTCATTTTCTGCTTATCGGCATTGTGTGTTGGATGCCGTTCAGGCAGAAAATGTTGGCGTAGGTTCGTGTCGGTTACATCATTTGCACGCGAAGTTTTTCAACGTTGCGGCATCAAAATTGATTGAATGATGTAACAAGTTGAAAGAAAAATCCTGTGATTTCTTATAAGAAGCATCGGCAGCAGCAGGAAAATATACAATTTCGTCGATTGAAGTGGGCCGTGTTGCATTGGGTCAATGGTAAGTTGTGCATTCAATTACGGTACGATTTTCTTGATTCGAGCAATTGATTGGAAGTTTTTCAAGGCATTCGAAATGGATTATAGAAGAGGAAGAAGAAGAAATAGAAGAAAAAAAGAGATTAGAAAACCAAATATATCGTAGAAAATCGATGACTTTATTCACTTTCTCGGGATATTCGTCGCTGATACTTTTTCCGCGGAAACGAAAGAAAAAAATCTGTCGAATCGGATTGGAAATCATCATTTTCAGTGTACAAAAATCAATGTCGATGTTCAATGTCTAGTGTCGCTTGATCGGTTGCAGCATCGCGAATACCCGCAACAACGGCAGCAGCAAAAAACAGCCAAAGCGTACAATTGAAAACGTTGTTAAACAATATTCGATCAACGAGTCGATGGGTGTCGAATCGTCAGACCGAGAATTTTTTTCGCTCTTGTTTGGCATTGTGCAATGCACAGGCACACACACATTTTTTTTTCTCTCTCTCTCCCTCACTATGCTGCCAATGCGATGTTCCATTGAAAGAGAGCCGGGGTATTGCAGTTCGCGCGCATACGGTTGCCATTTATTTCATTCGAATACGTTGGCTACCTTTTTTTTCACTAGCATCGTTCACATTAACGTTCTTTTTTCCTGATATTTTCCAATTGATTTTGATTGCTACCGTCGCTTAGTGACTCAGCCCAGCTTTTTGTAACCCATTGCAACGAAAACAGAACAGAGACGAACGACATGGAAGAACGAGTGGAAGAGAGAGGCAGCGGGACAGAGTCAGGCGCATCATATCAAAAATTGTTTGAAATTGAACATGGACGAAGCATTCCTTGTTCACTTCAGAGGTGGTGGTTGTAATGCACACTGCACAGAGAGCACATCCATGTGCACCCAATGCTGCTATTACAATTGGTAGAATAGAAAAATATAATTCGATATGTGACGTTGAACTGTGCATTAAACGCCAAAAACTAAGAGCATTGCGTTTAGCGTTGGCATGTTGACACATACATATTCGCTCCGATGATGAGTTAACATGGATGCACATTATTTTCACATAACATATAGGGAGAGAGAGAGAGAAGCGAAGAACAAATAAACAACAACAACAAAAATTGACTCGCGGCTAGTGTGAGTGAGACGTCGGAACAAAAGCAATAGTAACGACTCGAAAATTGAATTGAATCCATTTCTGAACTTTTTAAATGACATTACATTTTGAAGGCATCGTCGGTGCGAGCGCAAGCGAAACGTTTGTATTCGAGCAATTCGAATTCGTACAAGCTAAAGTCCAAAGCACATAGAGAGAGAGAGAGAGAGAGAGAGAGAGAGAGAGAGAGAGAGAGAGAGAGAGAGAGAGAGAGAGAGAG